GACGAGGCCGCGCCCGCCGCGGCGCGGCTCCCCCTCCGCCGCGCGCAGACGCGGCAGTCGCGCCGGCCGCGCGGAGAAGCGGCGGGGCCGTGGCCGGGGCCCCGGCTCCGGGGTCCTGCCGGCCTCCCGCGGCGCATCGGCCGCTTCTCGGCGCGGCGGAGGGGGAGGGGAGCCCCGGCGGGCGCGGCCTCGTCCTCGTCCCCTTCCCCCGGGCCGGGAGAGGTCGGGGGTGTTCCCGGGCACAGGTCCCCGCTCCAGGACTCGCAGGGCGCGGAGGCCAGAGCGGGCAGGAAGCGCGGGCGGGGTCCCGGGGGCGGCCCCGGCCGCTCCCCTCTTTCTCCTGGCGCTTGCCTGGGGCGGGAGGGCAGTAGGCGCTGCCCCCCGTGCGGCTGGCAGTGTGGAAAATGGACGTGGGTGAGAGTGGGGGGCGGGGGGGGATGGGACTTCCCTGGACAGTTCCCTTCCGGACCCGCAAGGAGAGGAAGGGATGGGGACCCTCTCCGGGGCGGGGGGTGTTCCTGAGGGGCTTACAACGTATGGCAGAGCAGGCCTTAACTACCGGGCGCTTCTGAGCTAGAGAGAGAGACGACTTCTGCGGACAGGTCCTGTTGGGTGAAAGCTTGCAATTTGGAAAATGCGCTGGATAAATGATAACTGGTAGACGGAAGTGGATAAAATGCAGTTTCTTCAGTTAGCAGGCCATGGCAGTCGTAATTCTGCTCTCTCAGTTAGGGTTCCCTTTGAATCTGTGCGAAGTGTTACAGTGCTCATAGGTGAGCAGTTTCTGACCATCCTGTTTGGAACTCACAGGATGGACCAGGCTGCCACTGATGAAAGTTGTAGGGCAAAGCATCCGAGGGACATGCTTTGTCAGCAGCTGCTCCAGGTTGCACCTCAGCAGAAGAAGTTACATGGATGTACATGGAACACTTAGTAATGATGTGGCTTAGATGCAGCTATTTTAGTCAGAATTCAATTCCGATGTTTATTCTCCCTACCTATAGTATTAAAATCATGCTGACCTGTTAGTATTATCTGTTAAGAGAATTATTTTGAGCAGTAAATAATAAATACTATCCAGTCTGCAATAATAGTACCAGTAGCACTGGCCTACCTTTCAGGAATGATGCAGGGTAGGGGCTGAGAGACTGCTACAATTCAAGGCATGCTTAATTTGAATGTTACCCCTTTTGCAAACTCAGAGGAGCTGCCTGCCTCTTTCACAGTTATGCATATTGGATGCCCCTCTTAGTGATAGTTGGGAATGTATGTAAAATATATAAAATGCCATAAGAGCATATTAATAATTGCTGAATATATAATTTGTGTAATGATCTAGTATACCATGTTGCTAGTGATATATAATGGGCCTCTAAATTATTATCTTCATCATACCAGAGCCTGTTTTCATTGCTTTAAAAGTTAAGAACTGAAAAGTATATATAGAATGGCATGGAGTTAATAGCCTGCTCTACAGCACTTGGGCATTGTGAAGAACGTTGAATACAAAATTGCCATCATATACTGAGTCGGTCCACTGTTTTAGGTACAGCTGTTGTAGCTTCATTAATGTTTTACTTAGTTTAGTGCAGGGGTGACCAACCTGTGGCCCTCTTGTTGTTCTGGCATACAATTTGCATTATTTGCCACTGGATATATTGCTTAAGGGAGTGGTAAGGAAGGACCATGAGTTGTCCCCTCCTGGCTTAGAAGGATGCTGCAAGGAGTACTGAAATGATGTATGTGAAGACCTTAAACACCCTACAAGCACAATATACATCTTTAGCTTTTATTATGTACGGAGACCTTGGGTTGTGTGAAGAAATAGGAGAAGGGTTGATCAGACACACAGAAGGGTTGATCAGGTTGATGCAGATGAGAGGCTGATACCTCCCCTGACTTGAACCCAGCACTCAGGTCTCAGACATGTAGATGTAGCGGTGAGAAGGCCCAGAGAGAGGGGAAAAAGGTGTTGCTACACTGTTTTTTTCAAAGACTTTTTTGCTTTTTTCTGGATAAACAAATGTTTTTCAGCTGCAGAAGCCCAGAAAGAATAGGCAATATCTTTACTGTCTTTGCATGCTCTTGCATCACAGCCATCTATACTTAAATGCATCAGGATAAGCAATGTGTGATCTAGAGGCCTTATGTGGCTCTTGTGGTCTTACCACCTCAGTTTTTTAAAATCACTCCTCTCCATAAAAAAAATATTACCCATGTTATGTATAGAGTGCCAAAAGGGCCAAATTCAGCTTGCTAGAGCCGCAGGGGAATAAAATGTAGCTTGGCAGCAAACAAAATATAACAATGATATTTCTTTGTCGCTTTAGGCAGTGCTTTGCCATCAAATTTTGGATCTTTTTGGGGAGTAAGAGCATGTCCTATGGGTTGCACAGTGCTCTGTGCGATGCAGCAGGGGATCTGGTGGGCAAAAATGGCTGTCAGATTTCCAGAAGTTGCCTGCTGCTGGTGTACATGGTTGCCCTGATAAGTGTGAGTGAAGTGTTAACATTGCACAGTCATTTGTTTGAAAACCTGTTTGAAAACCTGTAAATGCAGGTTCTGTTGCTGAGGCGAAGTGGACTGGGAACTCTTTCCTAGTCAGTCCTACTTTGTAATGGTGAGTGGAGGACCAGCATTTTAACTTATCCCCAGATTTACTCCTGTGTGTTTAGTAATTGGTCCCCCGAAGCATCCACTGTTAGTGCTATCCAGTGCTATCTCTGCAAAAATGCAGTTATGGCATCCTCTTTGCAGCGAACAGCTCTTTATTCCCTTCATGGACACTAAAAGATGAGCCATATAAATTCTTTTCTTTATGGCATGCTCTTTCAGACAAATAATGTTGGGCTTGTTAAGTATGAGATTCTAGAAATGCTGTGTGGCTTCTCGCATAAATTGAATCCTATGATATTCCTTTTTTCGTATAGCTACCACCTTGGGAAGTTTTCCTCATAGTAATTAAGCAATCAAAGAACAAGTGGTAATATGCTTGCTCAAGCTCGATCTTCCTCCTTGACTGGGAAGTGAAGTACTGGATGAGTTTTTTATGACATGTCAACACAGCCGTGTAGTGCAGGTTGTTTGTGGAAAAATCCGTGATACGCCTTATGGGTGACTGGATTGATCCAAGTTTGGGTCCTCACCCAGGTATATACAAGGCAGAACCCCTCTTATCCTCTCCTTCCTGTGGTGGCAGGGACTTCCCTGCTTTGTTCTCCACCCCTTCCTCCCCGAAGATCACTTTTTCATTTTCAGCCTGACAGTCTTGCCAAAATACCCAAGTGGCACATTGGAGCAGTTGTCACCATTAACCCACCTTTTCTTTTTGCACCAGAAATATGTGCATTTTTCACTTAAAATCTGGTCACTTTAGAAGTGCACAACTGCACAACTCTGACAACTTGAAATTGGAATCTGTGTGTGTGCCTGCTGTCAAATCAGCCACCTTCCAAGGACGCTGGCAAAATCCAGCTTCAAATGTGTGACTGCTTCCACTTGGCAGCTGTTAAATGTGGGCCGTAAGTGATAGCAAAGCCGTGAGAAGATCTTTGTGAAAGGGAGTTGAGCGGATTACCCTTTCACAATGTGATCTAGGTTTTAAATGTGGTTCTGACAGATGTCATTGACTCCCACATTTTCTGTGCTTTCCAGAGACTCTTGGTGCTCAGGAAGCTAGAACAGTGTAGCCCACCTCATATACACACACTCGACAGCTGTCAAAAGTGGTGCTTTTAAAACTGGGTTGGTGGTTGACAGGAACATATCCACCTGTCAAATATATGTGTGTCCCTATCAAAAATCCTTCTGATAGCTGTCAAATGTAGATGTCTCTATAAAAGGGGTAGGTTGCATTTTTCCACTTTGCTCAGCTCATGGCGTTTTAGTCTGACCTTGAAATTAAGTACTGCCGATCTGTCATAATACCGTAATGTATGCGGATGGGGAAGTTGTGTTCATTCAAGCTAGATGGTCAGGCTAACATGATTCAATACTGGGGGTAGGCAGAAGGTGGATTACGATCCACTGCTACATTGTGGGGTGATTAAACAGTTGATCAGCAGGATATTCCAACTCTTAACACTAGGAATACCAGAATGATTTTTCCCATCTGAATGAGGCTGCTTAAATGAATGATTCCAGCAACCAGGGCTCTAGTATGAAAAGGCAGCAGATTCTTTCAGTTTGGGTACTGAAAAGAAACCTTAGGCTCAGAGTGCTATTACTGCATTCTAAACATAGGTCTTTCCACCTGGCTCTGGTTGGTGGATCTTAGATTTTTTTTTTTTAAGCAGGTGGACAAGTATGATGCTTGCCCACCTGTGAGGCTCGGCCCCACAGAGTGCTTATTGCAGGGCATTTGGTGAGAGCTTTCTGTTTCTGAGCCACCTAGGTGTAGCATGGACATCCAGACTTTGACTTCAGGGGCAAATACTTCATTCATTTATAAGACAGAACTACAGGACTTCTTGCTAGGTAAACTGCCTCTCTGGAAAAATATAACTGACTTGACGGCCTTCCTAGGTTCCTTTTGTGTGTGTGTGTGCGCATGCTTGTTTTGTGCATCTTTATGCTCTGGTGTTTTGAAAGAAATCTACTCCCTGTTCTTACTGTGTTTAGAATAAACTTTTATTATTTTCAATGGGAAAGATAATACTTTATCTTGTGGACTCTCATACTTAAGTGTATAAGAACACTTAAGTCAATATTTTTTCAAGCAATGTATTCAGTCATGTGCCTAATAACATTTTAATTCTTGCTAAAGTCAGTGTTATTGATTTCAGTGGGCTCTAGATCCAAGCAACTTTGCCTAGGATTGTTGTCCTAAACCAGGGCCTTAGTAGCACCTATTCTCAAGGAAACCTGTCTTGGATTGGGTTTTCAGTCTCACATATATTAGACTACACCATAGAATTCCAGCCTTAACTGTACAGTTACTGTGTTTTGTGACTTTTAAGCCAGTGCTGCTTAGGTTGTTGATTATGATGTGTTCTGGCCTGGGTCGCACAGTGAAGTCTCTCTCTGCCCCCCCTGCGCCCCCGCCCCCCCATCCCCAGACCAATAGCTCAGTATTGGTCAGACTTCTTTAAGATAAGGCTGGCTGACTTCGCCTATATTCTTTTAATATATCCAGTTTGCATTCTACTCAGGTAATGCTATGCCTGATTTAATACTACGGATTAAAAATACAAACTGATTCTATGTTAACTAGGTTATATTCTTTCTTCCTGAAAGGTTAAACTAGTTTAAAGGTAGGCCCCAAAACATTTGAGAGGAATTGTTTTAAACCTAAAGTTTAGTGATGCCTTTCTTTTTTGGCTACATATGTCAAAGTTAGCAGCTGAGTTTAGGAAAAGTGCTGCAGATTATTTTTTGTGGGTAATTCTAGGTAACTTCTTGGTAATGACTGACTTCTTTGTTTCAAAATCTAGGAGTCTGTTTATCTATTGCTAGCTTGCTTAGCGCTTCAGTTAAATGTGTCCTCACATGGCCTAGTTCACATGTAACAGTAACCCAGAGGCTGGAGTATTATGTACAAACTCTACATTATGGGTTATTAACCATGAAAATTTAAGGACGGGAACTCTTGGTTGTTTGTTGGGGTTTGAACTCTGGGTTGTTCACAGTTAATCCACACAGTTGGTGCTTCTGTTTCCAATTAACAATCACAGAATGCCCTCTTCTTGGTTTATCTTATGACATCTGAACCTGAGATTCTGGATGGCTTATGAGTTGAACAGTGCAGTTAACCCACTAAGAAAACATTGGTATGGAGGCGTTTCTAGGTTAAAGTAGGAATAATAAGCATGCAACTTCCATGCTTTCCTTCTGCCCACAACCCTTTGGTTAAACAGCCTAGGTATTGCTGCCAGAGGCTGGGTTCATATGTGAACCAATGCATGGTGTGGGTTGCTGTATTCTGGAATGTTGTGTTGTTTAAATCCCATTGCAGTAACAATATCTGTTCACCACGAACAGCCCAGAAGGAGGGCCTGTGATTTGCCGATGGGTTGTGAACCCTGGCTAGTTTAAGCCATGGGTGCTTGTTATGTATGACCCTTGTGCTATGGGCCATGCATAGTTTGTTTTACCACTTCTCAGAAGGGGCAGGCAAGGTTATTTAAAACAAAAACGGAAACCAGCAGTACTGTTCTGTATGCTACTACTGCAGGGCTACAAATACCTTTGAGATACAAGGTGTAAGTGGGTGAAAGAGGAGGGGAGGAAACAGCTCAGGAAGTAAAAACAAACAAACAGCGCTTTGTTGCATCATTTCCCACAGATATCCTGGGAAGGGTAAAACATTGTATGCTAAATGGATCATGGGTGCATATGTATTCTGGATTTGGTGCTGCGTTCAGGAGACTGGCAGTCTGTTTTAGCGAGTCGGAAACCTCTGGTCCTAGGGCATGACATACCACCCCCCGCCCCGATCATTTTTTGAGTCTGCTTGGGTGAACCCATATCCCTGTCTCATTCCCGGTGTTTGTATGGCTTCAGCAAGCATACTGAACCTGGCCTGGTGCACACTGGTTAACCCCATGGTTCATTTTAAGCAGGGTATGCCTAGCAGGATTTGTTCCTTCCACCTTTGCCACCTCACTTCCCTTAGCCAACTGTCTACCGTTCGTCTACGGATAGATGCATAGGCTCTTCTTAATGGCGACAGAAAAAAAATGCCCCTCTTCTGCTTTTGTGGTTGGTGGTATGACAAGCGAACACCACGCAGGGAAAGCCCATAGCTTAAAGAACGCATGGTTCAGCACTCAACAACGATCTTGGTTCTCTCTGTAGGTCGCTTATGGCTAACACCCACATCTCTTGGTGCAATAAATAGTTCAGTAAATCATGGTTGATTAAACCATCGATTGTTGTTATAGGCGAACCATTCTCAGAATATCAACCATTTTTCTGAAGTATGGTTTTCATGTGAAGGGTTTTGCTTTATGTGTCGCAAAGTGGGCAAACTGAACTCCACCAATTTGCCGTTCTGCTTCCATATAAATAGGATACCACTGTCTTCTGGGAACAGCAACTGTTGGCTTACTGTGGTAGTCTGGTAAAAATCATTTGCATTCTGATGCTCCACTCTGTCCTCCAGAGGGATGAGGAAATGCTGAGCTTGAGACCTGGTACACCTGCGTGTGGGGATGAGACCCTGCTGTTCCCCCCCACCACCCAAAAAAAAAGTTGGAGAGAGAGACGGGAGCTCATCCAATTCTGCCAGCCTCAGACACTGAGAGTAGCAAGAAGTCTCACACTGTGAGTGCTGCTTGAGGGTCAGTGATGCACTAGGGAGAGGTTCCTGTGGTTCTCAGGTCAGCCTCATTTCTCCAGGCACCAAAGAAAGACTCTTTTTGGTGTATCTTTTTCCAGAGAAAAAGATCTCCCCTTTTGCTGCTCTGCAGAAGCTGTGTTAGGAAAGATTCTCAGTTCTCTGGGAAGTATAAATGCCATACAAAGTTTCAAACCTATTTGGTTATAATACTGTATCGCTGCACATGGTTAGTTTATGAAATAACAGTGTTACAACATGGGAAACCTGTTTTAAATTGGCCTTTAGCTTTAACTCATAATTGGAATCACGCCTACTTGGAAAGCTTTAATGGATGCTCATTTTAGTTTGCTCGGGCAGTGTGGGCAATGGCACAGCAAAGACTGGAAGAACTAGCGACATTTCCTCAAGAGCTAGGAGTGGTGAAGGTTGAACACAGAAGGACACAGTTCAGCTCTTGCAGAAGCACCTTCTTCATTCCATGAAATGTGTTGGTTGTGATGAAAGTCAGAGCTCTGCTGATACCACAGCATACCATAGCGGGGGGGGGGGGTTTATATAGTGCAGTTGGGCTACCACAGTGGAATTATTTAAGGGAAAAATGTGTTTTCCCCAAAGTTTTTATTTTTCCCCCCCAAGCCTTCACATCTCTACTTAGCAAGGACCTTTTTTTTTGAGCAGTTGATTGCTAAAAGGTAAATTAGACAGTTGAAATTGACCAGATCCTGCAATAGCCCATAATGCTTCTTCCTTGTTGGTGTCTCTCCGGGAAAGATTTTGAAAAGCTGAGAAGGGGGATGGAGCAAAGGCAAAGTAAAGTGACTCATAGAACACACCCCAGGAACTGGCCAGCTGTGATCTCACCACTCATACCTGTGCTGACAAAAGGAAGAACAATGCATTTAGATAAAGGAAGCCTGTGTAAGAAGCTCAGGGTTTCTTAAGGAGGTAGACATGGAAGAGTGCGTGTGTTAGAATGCTTGTGCCTTAAAAGGAGGGGGGAAAGCATATTTTAGCCTTTTACTGCAGCCTTTTACTGCAGAACTAGCAGGAATAGCTGCATCCGGTTTATCTTATTTCACAATTGAAAACTAAGCACTGTCGAGTGGAAATGAAAGATACACCAGCCCATATTTTGGGGGTGATTTTAAATATTGTGTTTAGGGTTTAGCAAGGCAGAAAGAGCTGCTGTGAGAGGCATGTTTGCAGAGTTTTGCTTCATATACCTAATAGCTTACCCCCAACCCTTTCTTAGCTTGCATGTTGGTTGTTCTGAGCATCTGCGTGCAAAACAGGAAGGAAAAGGCTTGTGGTTTGAAGTCAGAATCGAGCACTGGCACACAGTATATGGGTTTTAGGTCCCCAGCTCAGCAAGAATGGTATGAACTTTGTTATTCTGATTGGATAATCACTGTTGGTGTGTATAGAACTGTACATCAAGAGACTGTGTATCACATCACTGCTTCATAGACAAAATGATATAATAAAATGAAGCTATTTATGCAAATACTAGTTTAATTCTTCCTGTCCCCTAAACCTTGTCTAAATACAAGGAGGCATTAAGAAACGAATAATGCTGATCATGCATTACTATTTTATTTATTTATTTAAAACATTTTTATGCCGCCCCCATCGCAACAAAGCCTCAGGGCGGCTTACAACAAAAACAAAATTATACAAAATTATACAAGAACAAAGTTATACACTAAAAATATTAAAACCCGGTGCATCTCGGCTTAAATTTTTTTAAAATCCTACACAATAAATTAACACTTAAAATAAGTTTTAAATAAAAAGGTCTTAGCCTGGCACCGAAAAACAAATAATGACGGCGCCAGGCGGATCTCTCTGGGGAGCGCATTCCATAGGTGGGGCGCCACTGCAGAGAAGGCCCTCCTCCGGGTACTCACCCTCCTAATATCATTCACAGAGGGTTCCCGGCTAAGGGCATCTGTTGCTGATCTCAAGGGGCTAATATCTTTTGCTAATGCTTCCTCCACCAAAAGGATCCCTTATGTTTCTAGATGAGTTTCTTGGATCTCTAAGGAAGGAAAAAGCCAAAACACAACTTAGAATCCTTTATTCAGTTTGGTTGGGGGTTCTTCTGGTGGGGAGATAACACGAGAAAGAAAACCTCTTCTTTTGAAAACCTCTTCTTTCTTTTGGTCTAGATGTTAACTACTAAATTGGCCAAGGTTCTTAGGTGCCTGTATACAAGCTGTAGAAAGAGTAATGAAAAAATACTTTCCATTGTTCAAACAAAAATGTAAGACTTGATTTTTTTTTCTTTTGTAGGTTAATCTTGGACGTGATACAGTAGCAGACTTGCACGATGCAGACAATTAAGTGTGTAGTTGTGGGAGATGGTGCTGTTGGTAAAACATGTCTTCTCATTTCTTACACAACTAATAAATTCCCATCTGAATATGTACCAACGGTGAGTAAAGGTTGGAACCTTCCCTTTTTAAAACTGTTTAATGTGACAAGAGAAATGTCCCTAATAATTAAGAGAATTATCTTAACTGTTTGGGGAAATACCATTCTCCTAATGTGCAGGAAGGGCACCCTTTAGACCTTTTTGAGATTATTTTTTTGTAATGTGTATGGGTGGGATCTATTGGTTTTGTTCGGAAATAAATGCAAATACTGCAAACAAATGGTTTTGTTCAGAAATACATGCAAATAATGCAAACAAATGAAATATTTGTTCAGAAATAAATGCAAATATAACACAGAAATGTGTTCGAGATAGAGTAGCAATGGTCAAAGATACCTGAACGTATGATAGCTTCTTCTAGCTATCAGTGCCAGAGCAGATATCTCCATTTTGAAATGGTCTTTCCTCCATACAGCCAGTATTGTCCCAAAATAATTCAAAAACTTAACACCAGAAGCATATACAGCACAAGCTATGATTCCTTTTCATGCTATTCTTAAATCTCTGGAACAAAATACAAAACTAGTGACTTCTTCCAGCACAACTCGTATTTATGACTATAAGTAAATATGGGTGTTGGAATTATAACAACATTGACCATATTAGATCACTGTCATGTAGCCTGTCATAGTAACTGCTCAAAATAGCTGCATGAAACTTGTGTGCAATTTAAAAATAAACTATCCTCAAATATTAACCTCAACCCGTTTTTTAAATCTGCACCAGGTTCTGGAAAATCATTCATTTTGAACCCTGAGCTGTCATTTTCCATAAATTTTGGGGTGTATACACACACACATACATGGAGGGAGGAAGGGAGGGAAGAAGGGAGGGAGAGAATTTTAAAAGCAAAACCTTATATAAGTAAAATAAAATACTAGTTTATATGAGGTTTGACTAAATCTATTAATGAATATATATGATGTATCACTATATGGCTTATGTATAGTATTAAAAATAATCATTCGTAGACTTCAGTGAAGACAGCCCAGCTCCCTCTGTATTTGTCTGTTAGTAAATTACACCTATGGAAAACCTGCTCAAAAACCAAAAGCTTCATCAAGTCCTCAACCCATTCTGTTACTGCAGATGGCTGTTAGTCCTTTCAATATTATTTTTAGCTGTCAAAACAAGCATGGCGTTTCCTTCCAAGAGAAGTGTAGTTAAGAACAACATTCATTTTAAGTGTATTTAGCTTTAAAGCAGGGGTCTCAAACTCGCAGCCCGCGGGCCCATTGCCGGCACGGGGGGGGGGGGCTGCGGCCTTCCAAGCGCCGGCGGCACCCGGGCCGGCCTCTGGGAGCGACATGGGATGAGCGGCCCACCACCACCGCTTGATGCGGCCCAGCCTCACCCAGACTCTACTTCCAGCGGCCCCCAGGTAAGTGGAGTTTGAGACCCCTGCTTTAAAGTGTGCTCAACTTTAAAGATGACCACCATCAGTGCCCTGTAAGTTCTTATTAAACGACTCACTCAAATGCAATGTAATAATTTGATCTATATCTCTAGAGATAAGTATTTGTAACTATTCAACTCTGGGCAAAGTCTGCATTGCCACTGTGGGGTGTAGTAACGCTAATCAACATCAGTTCAGACTTTGACCAGTTAACGGAATAGCTAGACACACAGCCAGACTTACTAACCATCGCATCAAAGCAGGGAGAGACAAGTGCCGCTTCAAGACAAACAATAGGAGATCACTGGCATAAAGAATGAGCTTAAATTCTAAATACTTATGCAGAAAACTGAATTTTAACATTTTGTTGACTAGCAAATGCCAGAAATAAATCAAAGATAAATCAAATATTGATGGAGAATGTGGACATCCTTATGTGGTGCCTCTTTCCAGTAAAAAAAAGGAAAAAGACAAAGTGACCTGTTCTAACTCTAGCTTTGGGGTTGAATATAGAATTTAATCGCATTTCTGAAATTCTCTAGAAAAAAACAATTTCTCAGCCAAGCAGGTGTCTAATACATTTTCTCAGGTCTTTCTGCATTCTAGGAAACAAAATTAACTGTTACCTGTTCTGTCTGCAGCCAGTGCAGTCAGATTAGCAACCAGTCAGTGAAGATCTGCCCCTCCCTGTTTTTGATGAACCCCTTATATTGGTTATTGCTTTTATAATTTCCTCAGTCTGCAAAGGCAGCCTTTGTAAAATAAAATAACATTGAAATGGCAAAGGCGTGTAGCTGTGGCCAATCTGTAAATCGTACGTGTAGACTAACTGCTGCATGATCTGCTATTCCCAATGTTTCAGTATCATAGCCCCGAATTTAGTGTAGCAGTGGTATGGAAACTAAAAAGTGATCTAATTGAAAGCAGTTGCGATGGATGGAGGAATTAGAGGTATAATCCCTCTCTCATTTGGGTGGCGAATTCTTCAAGTATCAGCCAGGCCAAGTTCAAGCTAGATTCCCCATTGCTTGCCTCTTAAGGACTGGGATATTCTTATCCAGGGAGAGATCTTAAGATTCCATTAGAATCCCCTGCCCAACAATCAGATAGTTGCATGTATGATCGAGCAGCTTTCTGAAGCATTCATGACACATAACTGGAGAATCATTGTTAGGCCTGTACTCATTAATTAGAACAAATGCCTTTCTATTCTAATACATTCACAGCGTTCTTGATATCTCAAGAGTTCTTAATACCATTTTTCACATATTAAAGGTGGCAGCTTGCGAGATGATTGGCATGTTCGTAGTTGTACTGTATTTCTGTCTTGCCTTTTTCCCCTCTTGCAAGGAACCCAAAGTGGTCAACAGTCCATTGTATCCTCCCCATAATAGCCCTGTGAGATAGGTTAGATCGAGCATCTGTGTCTGGCCCAAAGGCTGACCTAGTTGCATTGTGCTAGGCAGGTGCCAAAAGCATATGGGGAATTGCGCTTTGACCGCTCCTCTTTTAGAAATAGGCCAGTCGTTCTTTAGGCTGTCACAGCCTCATTTTAACAGATGACAAAAGGCTTTCTGCTGTAGAAGGGAGGGAACGACCCCTGGCTTATGGGTGGAATGCCATTCTTCAGGCCCCCGACAAGCTCTTGCTCTCTCAGAAGAGCATGGGGGGCAAGGAAGCATGGCCTCGAGGATCTGGCTCTGTCAGCCCCACTCTCCCTCCCTTTCACCAGTGTGGGACGGGAGAGTAAAACTGGATTGGGCAGGGGGTGGCATTCACTGAAATTGCCATGGTTTGTTTGTTGAACTTATTCCCGCCAGTTGCAGACGCAGGGGCCACAGTTCTGCTTAACATGGTTTAATCTCTGTGCTTTATTCTATGCTTTGGTGACTATTTTATGGGTTGAATCTTAAGAAACAAAATAGCGAACATTTTGTTCAGCAAACAGATTTCAGTAGTCAACATTAAAGCAAGCAACCCATGTTTAATCCTTGTTCTTGAGTAAGATACCGGTCATGCGTTATAGGAAACTATTTTAAGCATTTAGCTGTCACTTTCTAGGAGTGTCACTTTCTACCTTATAAAGTAGCTTAAAATTTCTTAAAACAAATATGGCGCCATAACGGAAAAGCCCTGCCATGAGTCAACCACTGCCTGCTCTTCTCAGCACAGGCCCTCTGAGAAGAACTCCAGGGATCTGATTGTGCGGCTGCTTTGGCATTTTAACTTTACTTGAATGCATATGTTTTAACATTGGTGCAGTAGCAGTGGCTAGCTTTGAAGGAGACAACTGGTGTCCATAGTCCTCTCTCCTCCGACTGTGTGGTTCACAATGTGCAGTCCATGCTTGGGGGCCGGTTTCGTGTCTCTGAAGGAGTTTTCTTGTCTCCCAGGTGTTTGATAACTATGCTGTAACAGTGATGATTGGTGGGGAGCCGTACACCCTAGGCCTGTTTGATACAGCAGGTAAGTTCTTTTCCATGTAAATTCAGCCTTGGAGAAAGCCAGTGGTGGGTTTGCAGATGCTCCCTCAGACTCCCTCGAACACTGCGGGCTGATTGACGTGTCATGGCAAGCCATGTGGGTTGCGGGATGTGTGCACTGCCAGTTTAATAGGCAAGATTTGGTGGCATGGGGTGTGCCTTAGGTGCAGTGGAAGGCTGGTTGGTGTGGGTTATGGGTTAAATAACCCTCACATAACCCTAATTAACCCATGGTGGCTTAGCTTTACGTATACACTGCCCCTGCATAACAGTTGTATCGGGTCTTGGATTTTAAATTGTGTTGCAAGTGTGCAGTGTACCCCTTGCCCAAAACAATATTTTGCAGTATCATTGACGGCCAGTCTCTTACCCTGTATTCTTTGCCTTTCCGTATGTACTCTTTGAGCTCAGACCATGGTGTAAAATGGGTTGACAGTATAGGACAGGAGCACGGTAGAGCCATTATGGGAAGCACATTCCTTATGGGGGATGGAGAAAATCTGATGCCCATAGGAAAAAGATGATGCAGGGAAGTAAGAAAGGAAGAGTAGAAGAATGGATGTGAATTGTTCGTGTACGTGAGGGAAGGCTTGGTAGGGAAATATAAAAGGCATGTTTCACCACTAACCGGTGGATATTTTAAACAGTGCAAGCACATCGAAGCCTTCTTCATGTATTATAAAGAGCAGGTGTCAGTTGATCTACCTGTAATGAATCTCAGGAACATCCTGGTGGCTGCATCCAGTGCAGTATTTCTCCTTTTGTGCATTTAGGAGGAAAAGAAATAGCCCCCCATTTAGCCTGCGTGATGCTTTAGGATATTTCTCCATCAAGGTGAAGCGTGGCGGGATGAATGTCGCTGGTCGCTGCTTGAAACTGCAGGGGTGAACACTGAGCAGCGCTGGTTGTGCGTGAGAATAAGCTGCTGTGACAGATCAGTAGCCATGAAGGAGAGTGTTAGCGGAGCTGCAGCTTGATGTGTTCTGCTTGGCAGGGAGCAGTTGCTGTTTGTCACAGTTGCTAACAGGTTGGCCAGCAACATGTATGGCAGTGCCGGTTGATTCCCTTTGACAGTTTCTCAGTGTGAGTCACTCTTATCTCTGGAGGAAATGGAGAATTCTCTTTCTTCTCTGAGTGGCGCTCGAGCAGGTCATTCTCTTGCCACTCGTGGAATTGCTGCTGCAGTGTTACCTGCCTTGAAATGAGAATGTGGAACTCAGAATTGGAGGGAGGTTCGCTCTTCTGATCTGTCTATAATTCTGAGAGTCAGGGCAGGTGAAAGGAAAGAAGAAAACTTGGTTCTCCTGATTCTCTTCATTTTTCTTTAAAGCTTCCTGCTAAAGCAGCACAGATATTTAGTCTTCTCCTAATAGTTACGGCTGCGTAGTTACTGGAAAAGGTGAAATGAGTACGAACACCCTATTCTCAAAACAGGGGACTGATGCTAGCACCTTATTTATTTGTTTTAATAGGACAGGAAGATTATGACAGATTACGACCCCTCAGCTACCCACAGACAGATGTGTTTCTGGTCTGCTTCTCTGTGGTCTCGCCATCTTCATTTGAAAATGTGAAAGAGAAGGTGGGTATTTTCTAGCCCCCGTATGTTCTGGCCCCCGAATGCTATTCCTTTGACCTGGCTCATGCAACGTGAGGCCCTGCCATGGGCTGATTTTCCTGTGGAACTTGTCACTTTGTGCCAGGTGCCCACAGGTATCATGCTGTCGTGATGCCCATGGGTGCCGAGCTTGTCACGTTGTGCGTCCGGGGGCAAAGGGTGTTTGAGGATTAGACTACCCTCAAATAGCCCATGGCTTGTGTTGGGGTTATTTAAGGGCTTAACTCTCAAACAACCCCCATGGCCTGGGCTTGCTCAGCAAGCCATTCACTGGAGGGTCCTGTGCAAAAATAGTATCCCCACAAGCTTGACACAATGTGAGTGTCCCTGCAGTGAAATTAACCCACAGCGGGCTGTTGTGAGGTGTGTAAAATATTCCGTGCTGCCCTTTGCACTTGTGAATTTTACTTTATGACCAGTATGTTTTATCTCTCTTCCAGTGGGTACCTGAAATCACTCATCATTGTCCAAAGACTCCCTTTTTGCTTGTTGGGACCCAGATTGATCTCAGAGATGATCCCTCAACAATTGAGAAACTTGCCAAGAACAAGCAGAAGCCTATAACTCCTGAGACTGCTGAAAAGCTTGCACGAGACTTGAAGGCTGTCAAATATGTGGAATGCTCTGCACTCACACAGGTACGGTTTCTCATCGATGGTGCTATGGGTTGCTATTCCTTCCTCTAGCAGTGGGAAATAGGTAAGTTCTGTCCAAAAGGATCCATCCTTGATGTTTGCTCAGGAAGAATTGCCCTGCCAGTGACGTTGAAGGGTCTAAGATAGCACTCTGAAAGCTGCCGAGTATTCTGAAGTCACCGTCTTAACAAATGAGCTCACCTTTGTCACTGAGAAAATTGAATAAACAAGGATCTTGTAAGGAGATTTATTTTTGTTGTTAAAGGCTGCTTTCATATTTTCATTAGACGTTAATAGCACATAAGGCTGGGGTATTGCAACATCACAGGGTCTTAGTATTCCATAGAGGTCCGAGGTAGCATGAATAGTTCTAATATAGGACACAAGCTAATTGAAGCCAAGCCGCTGGGCATGTTTGAGAGCTCAAGAATTGTCCTACATCACCCACATCTGAGTGTAGCTAGAATTAAATGAGTTTCTGCAGCTCAGCCTCAGTATTTGAGCTGTTTTCTTCGCACGGTTTTCTTGGGTGGCACAAACCCCATTTGTTAAGGTGAACGGGCATCACTTCACAGTCACTCACTTTTGGTGCATGTGCATTAGGGAAGTGTTAGTGCTGGTGTGCCACTTGGATGTGTGAGCAGTTGATGGATGCTATATATGAGCCATTGCGGTGAATTTACACAGAAAACCAGCGGCATAAGTACCTCAGTACCCTTTTCTGCCTGTTACAGGTATTACACCTAACTATGGGACATTTTCAGAAAATGGGAACACTCAGGGATTTAAATAGTTAACACAGTCCATTTGCACGGAGCATACAGGATTAATGTTGCTAATACTTAGGCCACTGCAGTCTTTGCTGCTTAAGAAGTTCACAATGGAAAGCCCAGGCAATTTCTGTGCTTGGGGAACGCTTTGGTCTTTGGACCACGATGCTACTAAGAGCAAGGTTAGGTGCATTTCTGGTTATAATCTTGTGGATTGTGCTGGGGTTTGATGCTGGCTTTCTTGAGCAACCGGTTGCTGTCATACATAATATATCTTGGCGCTGTGGCCACTTGAGTGCTCGCATTTGTTGCCAAGCCTTTGCGAGGATCCTTGCTTGAAGCACATCGTTGTTCAAGTGGGAATCTGCTTTCTCTTGCGCTTGGGGTCCTCTGGATGTTTTGGCCTGCAACTCTCCATGTTCATCACCAGTGGCAATGCGAGCTTGAACCGATGGAAGTTCTAGGCCAAGATATTTGGAGGGCTACAGATTTTACCATCTCGCAGAGTTTATTATTATTGCATTACATTTTTATGTAGCTCTCTGAGTGGTTCACAGCATTTTAAGTCACCCATCCAGATTTCATCCAGGCCCAGCCCTGCTTACCCTTCAAGATAAGGCAGGATCAGGCACTGCAGGCTACACAGAAGTTGATACCGTAGTCTAGAATGTGTTCATATGTCAGCATCAGTATTGGCCCTTTAAATATTCTTACTGGTATTCTTGGAAAAATTCCTGTATTAAACAGAATGAATCAAGACCTTTCTGCTTTTAGTTGATTTTGGATTTCTTGTTTTAAAGTTTGTTTGTAGCAATCTTCTCTCTTAAAAATAACTACATCTGAAATCAAGTTCACAGAAGCCTATAAAAGTTGATTCCCTGCCTAGAATAGAATCCACGTTCCTTTAACACACCTGATCTGGAACGACATGAGTTGCGTGGGGAAAATAGCTGCCTTCTGGGGCAATAAATCTACTTTGCTTATTATTGCAGCCATGATACGTACATCATGGGATTGGAAAAAGATTGCAGAAGGCAATTCTTAGGATGTCATCTCTGGCTGTGTGAAATGTTTTGTGCCTTGAACTTCTGGGTGTTTTTCTAGGCCTGTTGCATGATATCAGACCACTTAAAATCTGCAACTTGCCTGGTTCTAAAATTGTGAATATATGACTTTATGTGCCAAACAATAGAAAATTTGCTGCCTACATTCAGTAAGTATTTACTGAAAAGAAATTGCATACATTCTTAAAGTATAGCATAATTTAAGTTTTAAACCAGTGTGTTTTGATGGCTACAGCAATCAACTAGTGTATATTTTTGTTCAGGAGCAATTTTAAGAGTAAATGCAAAATCCTACTTAAGCTGGTCCTTTCTCTTTGGGTTAAATTGCTTTGGCTCGAGATAGTTTACTTGGATACAGAAGGGAAGCGGGAGTTAGCTGTTTCCAATTGTTCATGGAAATCAGCCATTTCTCCCATTTTTATGAGTTTAAAGTGCTTTCAAGTCTTTTAAAAATACAGTTAAAAACTTTTTCTAAAACCAGTGTTCAGTGCAAAGATGCTCGTCCAAAGTAGACAATAGAAGGTTCTCTCTTCTGGGATGCAAGTGCTGTGTGATACACTTGCAGGATCTGTTTCTTTAACTCGCTTAGTCCTGCTGACTTCATCTGTCACGGTAGATTTAGGATTTAGGTGACTTTCAGTTGCAAATATTTTTCTGCAGTAACAATCCATTAGGGTTGCTCTTCCTTTTCCCAGAAGCCTGTCACTGCAGCTGAGCATTTTGTGTGCTGTTACAGACAAGCACATTTCTTTGTTTCATGCTTCGTGCACAGAATCACATTTGTGCTCATTTAGAGCTCCCTTTTCTCATTTTTTTATGACTCCAGCGGCTGTAATTTCTGTAGCTGACACAATAACCAGAGTAAGGCTAAACCAGGACATGTGACTGGCAGTAATTCTTGCTTCTGTAGGGTCTGTGGCAGAAACCCAGAAGGGATGTGTCTTAACCATAAACAGAGTCAACATAATACTGGGGAAATGGATTCTTGAATGTGAATTACCAATCAGACCCCCCTATAGCAAGTCCTTCCAAATCTGTGTAAACACATCTTAGTGGGAACATCTCTTTCTGCTGGTAAACATGCATGAACAAGTTTCTGTTCATGTGTAGCAGTGGCTGATCAGAAATGCCCTTGTGATGTGTGACACTGGGCTCTGGGATTTTTTCGTGGCTTAATCAGCTCAGAGTTAACTTCCATATCTGGAATATTGTTGCTACAGTGAGAATGGGGTGGGGTGGAGGAAGAGCTGACCGTTGCTGCACGTCAGTGGGAGAAATTGGAGCAGTGGCGGGGGGAGAGGTAGGCCACCCGCCCTGTGGCCTGGCTTCGGCCATGTCCCTCCCTTCCTGAGAGGTCAGTGTGCTGCGAAAGACCAGCCCTAGCGTCAGTGGTAACTCGTTCACCGCTCCATCCGTGCCTCATGGGCAAGGTATCTGGCTGAAATCCATAGAATGGCATGGAAGGAGCCGTCGCTGAGCTGGCAGGATGTGACTTCAGTACAGAAACTGCCCTGTGGTTTGCTTGGTGGTGGCCAGTGTCATAAAGAAGCTACCCTGAGAGGATCGTGCCTCACTGGAACCGGACTGGCAGTTTTGAGACTTCTAGCCCAACTCCTGGCCAACTCTCTTCAATTTAAGAATTCCCTTGCTGAAAGATGTGTGGCCTAAAATGTTGCACGCAGAAATGAAGGCAGTTCGTGTCGCACTCCTGGTACCTCTCCGCTTTGCCTGTTTCCTCTTTCCCCGGACGATCTACTTCGTAACAAATCTGCTTTGCTTACCACTTTTATCCTGCCTGAATGCTCTTTCTCTCTCGGCCTCTCCCCTTCTCCTCTCTCTAATCCTCTAACCTGGCTACTATTTTTTTCTCCTCCCCTCTGTTTTATAGAGAGGTCTGAAGAATGTGTTTGATGAGGCTATCCTGGCTGCCCTGGAGCCTCCGGAAACTCAGCCCAAACGGAAATGCTGTATATTCTAAACAGTTTCCTCTTTTTCCTTTCTTGTTGCTGCTTCCTCTGTCCTGCTGCTGTAGAAAGTTGGTTCAGAAAGAAACAAATAAAACGATCCTGATTGGAAGAAGCTGTGTCTTTACTTGATGTCTTAGAGCAAACTCTGTATTAGCTTTTGAATCGGAAATTGCTTGCACACGTTGTGATGGCTGTGGAACATGAACTGGACTCGCTTAAACCTTTTGCTTCTTGGGTTGCTGGATCTTTAATAGCTTTACAAATTCCTAAGAGACTGTGGGTCTCATTTAAAAGTAAGCTTTAGCGGGATAAGTGAAGATCTGGTAAGACCTCTTACTATCCAAAGGAGAAGTAATGTGCAGTTCACGTCCTCTCTCTTGTGGCTCTGTTAATTGTATCTGCATGATGATTGTACATGACATGATGGTGACCTGCAAGTGATGCTGAAATGGTGGGTGACGGGTTCTCTGGTTTTCCTTTGTGCAACGGGGCTTGCTGTCGCTTTGGCTGTTTGTGCTGTGGGGGGGGTATTTGTGGGTCCTCTGGGGGTGGGGAAGGCAGTGGGGGTCCCTGCTATTGCTCGATGGGTGTCCAGCTTCTGTTATCAATGGCATGGTAACACCTGCCTTATTCATTCTCCAAGCTTGCAACTGTACAATGTAAAGCTTCCTTTCTTAACAGTCATACTTTCTGACTTCTGTTGTCTGGAAGAAGGAAAAGACAAACAATTGTAGTACCGTACATTTCAAAATTAAAATTAGTTGTTTGTATAAATGCCTGATGAAGCATTATTCCTGTTTGCATTCATTTGCTTCAGTTTAACATTGATACGCTATGGGAACTACTGTTCATTTTCCCATGAGTGGTCTCTGCTGCCATTCTCTGCTTCCAAGCCCTCCTTTGCTACTTCAGTAACATGTGGTCTGTCCCAGGAGCTTGGCCGAAGGGGTCTTCATCCTTGTTTGCTTGCCGGTCTCAGCCAGGTGTCACCTGTCCCCTTCCTTTCCTGGGATCATTTCTTCTTCCTCAACCTGGTGCCTGTGCATTGCCATTCGCGTACGGAGTGTTCTCTCAGACTGGCACATGCGTGGACGCACAGACCGCCTCTGGTACATGTGTTCTATCTCTTGACAGAACATCTTTTCGGAGCACTTTACGGTTTTGAGTGTCACATGTTCTGCATTGTTACTAGGAAGCCGATGGACGTGCCAGCGTGGTTCAGCCGCTTAATACCTAGCGCCCTTAGAAGGGGATATTGCTTCACTGCAGGACCCTGCACATCACTACTTGGTTCAGTTTTGTCTTTGTGGGTTCTTTTAAAACACGGATTGCTTTTAATGACCCAGAAAATGAGACAGCCCGTTTCTCTTTGCCCCTTTTCAGAAAGGCCTAAAGAATGTATTTGACGAGGCGATACTGGCTGCCTTGGAGCCCCCGGAGCCGAAGAAGAGCCGCAGGTGTGTGCTGCTATGAACTTCCCTTCACGGCCCTTCTGCACAGCTGGTGTCGAAGTCATACTAAAAGCAATGTTGAAATCAAACTAAAGATTCAGATTTTCCAGTTTGTTTTTGCAATAATGACAAATGCCGTGCACCCTCTTCCCATCACTCCCTGTGTGAGATTAAAATGTTAGAGCTCTTCTCCAGTCCCCTTCAGTCAGACTAATTTTTTAAAAAAATAATGTATTTCAACAGACGCTGATCAATACTAGGGGTTTTTGTTTGTTTGTTTGTTTGTTTACTGTTTAAATTTTCATTTTTAAACTTCAGGCATGCTTGTGGTGACTTTCCTCTGTAACAGGCTAATCACTAGGCTGTAGCCATCAGGCCCTGTCCCATCATGCTAGCTGGCAGTACTTGGGTTTTGCGATCTTCCGTGGCCAGCTTGCAGTCTGGGGGTGAGCAGGTTCCAGGCCTTGGAACAGGTTCAGGAAATGAAAATGCCCCAAACTGGTGCTCATTTGCAGAGGGATGCGGCGCATCTTTTGAATCTGCATCTCCGCTGAAGTTGCCTTGGAACCATTTCCCTTTCTTTCCTTCAGGCAGGTCGGAAATTTATATCTTGCGCTTTTAAGACACAAAATGTACATGAACCCTTTGTTTATGTATTTAGCCAAATGGTTTTGTGTGTGCAGCCACTCCCCCCCCCCCACCGACCCGCTCACCCAACTTTGCCAATGACTAAGTTTTTGTAGGCAGTTTTCAAAACTTGACAATGTTAGGCATTAATTGAGATGAGAGAACGGCATCATTTGAAGTCAGCTAAGTTCTCTTGGCTTTGCTTAACAACTAGCTCCTCCCTTGGGCAAGCGGGTTTCTGACGTTCTGCAACACACGTCGCCTGTGTGAAACCCGCCCTCACAGCCTTTGCCTGTTGTAACGGAGGTCAGGGACTAATGAGCTGACTGTGCCACAAAATGGTTCAGTGCATTTTGTTTTTGCTTTGGAAGAAAAGGAGAATGAGATACGCCTCATCAGGGAAAAAATATGGAGGGGGAGAGTGGTCACTATAGCACCTTGGGAAACCAGTAGAGAAAGTGTCGTGCTTGTGCCAGCAGCCCTGGCCTCCCAGGTCTCAGTATAACCGATCGTGTTAGGGTCTCTGACTCCAGTGTTCGTACGGATCTTATCAGAACTTTACTCCTGCTTAATACTTCTCAATTTTCCCAGACTCTAATTCTTGTAGATTCGTTAGTGTTGAACTGATGCTTTTTCCATGTCTAAGTTCTTTGTATATGCATTTTTTCAGATGTATTAAACATAAAGTATCTTCACAAGTCTGGCTGAGAACAATTTATTTCCCCTGACTTAGTCTGCACATCTTTTAAAAGAAGCACGTGCTATTTTCAGCGGTGGCAGATTCAGGTTCACTCTCCTTCCAGCGACCAGTTTGACTGATGACTGAAGCCGCCTTGGGCTTTTTTCACGCTCAGGTTGTAGTTGCCTGAAATCTTTCCACTCTAGAGAGGAGTAAGTTTGCTTGCTCGCTTACTTGCCTGCCTCATAGAGTGAACTCGAGGTATTTTTATTGTTTCATTATCGTGCATTCCAGAATTACTCAGTTTAGAAGGGGGAAAATCCTTTGTTTAGATTTTGCTTATCGTTTGGATTTAGGAGACTAAATGTGACATCCTTTCCTCAGAGGAAAAGTTTGGGTTTCTTGTTTTAAAACACCCAGCACATACAAGCCTCTTGGTATGCCTGTGGAAAGCCTCTTCTCCTTTGGGATTGTAGCCAACCATTACTTCTCAAAACTTAGTTGAAGTTGCACTTCTTTTAAGAAATTCGAGAGTTGATAGCATACTCAGATGGGATTGCCATAGAGAATGAGAATGATCTTCTTGTTTCCGGCCCCTCCACCTTTGTGGTGGAGTTTTATCAGCTCAGTGGTGCTCATTGCTGTATGCTGATTCGGCTCAATAGCCAGTCATACTCAGGTGTTCCAGCTAGGGCTCAATTTTTCATTTCTGCATGCTGTAGTAAGAGCCCCAGTTAAGCGAATGCTGTTCATGGTGGAACCCTTCACAGAATTCCCAGTGGGCTGTGCACTCCCGAGATCCAGTCTTTTCTGAAATTTGGGGGACTTTCATGAACGGAGTGGCAGCCTAAATTTGTTATTTGGTAGGCAGACCTCCAGTCTCTTTAAAGGAGATACTGCCCTTGCTCCCTTCTGAGTTCTGGAGTCTTCATCGGACACTGTCCACACAGGGCAGTTGTTGCCTCTAAGCCTAGAAAGTGAGGAACAGGTTCTGTGTCTGCACAGCAGTCGTACAGATCTGAAGAAAGGCTGGTTCACACGTAGGTCTGGCTCTGCTTCTTGGACCCCTGACACGTGTTGTGCCTCTCAGTAGTCACGTTGGCTGGCACTCGCTGCCTTTCAGAGGACCGGCTTAACTGGAGGAACCAGATGTGCGTACTACCCGTGGTCTGACCAGGCTTACGGCGAATGAAAAACAGCTAACTTTGGACACAGAAGGTGCCATAGTTTTGTGGAGTGGGTGGGGGTGTTGCTCACTGCTGGCCTCGACCTGGGCCCGGGAAATCGCCACCGGAAAATGCCTGCTCAACTACCCTGGGTTGTGATGTGTATACAGAAGTCTGTGTAATGGTGCAGCCCTCTCCCCTCTTGCTAAAACGAATAGCTGACTTGGGGAATAGCCGGGGATGGAAAGCAGGAATTAGCTGGGCTGTTTGAGTCCCGCTGACATTTCCTCTCCCATGGCGAGCATCCCTTTCCAGGTTGGTTCTGGGTGGCAGCCATTCTGTTTATGGACTCTACAGTAAAACTGACGAGGGTCTTAGCTATCCTAGAAAATTTCCTTGTCTTCTCTCACCTTCCACTGCTACCACAGGAGTGGTCTCTGAATTTCTGGATCCCATTTCAGTAACAAAATTCACTTCTGAGCCTGTCAAGTGCATTTAATGGAAACAACCACTTGTGTGTAATTTTTTTGCTTTGCCTCAAGAACAACTGGTAAGTAAAGAGCTGTAAAGTCAGTGGCTTGAATGGGCCAGTGAGGGTGGGCTAAGCTTTTGTAAATGATGTGCCTTCCATCCAGACTGAACAAAAATGAGAGAAAATTCATCTTAAGCAACAGAAAAATACACCAAGTTGAAGAAAGAGGCCAGATAAATATACAACACCGGACAGCCATCATCGTGGCTGGAGTGTTGGACTGGGATTAAAGAGTCACTGACTCACAGCATAACCTTCCTTACAAGAGGAAAAAGGTGGGTTTTTTCCTAATCTAATGCAATAATTTATTTGTAAACATTTGCAGTGAGAGTGCTCGAGATTCAGCCAAATCCAGATCCAGTCTCAGTCAAGGTGGGATTTCTCTAAAACACTTCGGATCTGAACATTACTGAGCTGATGTGTATGAAAATCGGAACATTCCTCCCCAAGTTGTCCATGTAAGGAAAGCACCAATCGGGACAAGGAAGAGTCTCGCTTCCCAAAACCCAGTGTTTGGCAGAGGGATGTTGAAGTAATATTTAGATCTCATCTGTTTTACTTTCTAGGAACACAAGGTATCTTAGATAATTCCTCCTCCTCTCAATCTTGCCCTCACAACAAGAACTCTGTGAGGTTGGTTGGACTTGAAAGTCTGTGGCTGGCCCCAAGTCACCCACCGAGTTTCACAGCTGAACGGGGACTAGAACCCAGATCTGAGTCCCCTGCCCGCACTCGTAACCACGACACCACAGTGGCTCTCCAGTGTTCACTGGTGCGAGGCTTGTCGCATTGGGTACTGCTGAATGTTCAAGTCTCATTGTCTTGAGGATTCCTGCCGCCTTGCTCTTTCTGATGCCAACTGAGCAGGAAGAATATCTGGAGCTGCTGTACATTTATAACTCCCCAAGCCTTGGAACAGCCGTGATAAATACCATTGTCATACAACATACAAGGGGCAAGAGGAAGTCCAATTACTCTGCCCCACAAAATCTCAATACACCCACCAAAAGAAAAAGTACCCATCCTTCCAAAACTCTGCAGGTGTCTTAAATTGGGCCACCTCTCTGCTCTCAATTGCCCACAGAGAGCTATGTGCATTGTTTATTTTTGAAAACCCCAAACTGTAAATGCTACTTTGGAACAAAACTGCCTGTGCTTGGCAGGTTTGGTCCTTTCGGAAGGGGCAACCAGCCCTGAAAATCCCGTCCAATTCTGCAAAGAAATAACAATATTTCTGGCAGCTTCATTTTTTAAAGAAAAAAAATACATGGTAAACGTGTAGCCCTGTTCTCCTTTCACCTATTTGCCTGAAATTTGCCCCACAGAATCCCTTTATAAGGATTGCAAAAATAATTCAGTTCTGACCAAAAGGAACATTATAGCTATGCCTTGACTTCTAATGGTAAACATCAGGAGGCACGAAGACGGAGATTTCTGGAGTACAACCGAGTCAAAGGAAGTGGCCTTTGGCAAATGGCCTTTGGCAAGGCTTGGGCTGATTTCAAGATCCAGATCAAATGGAATCTTGACACTTGCTGTACACCCCTAATTTGTATATTAGGGTGTTTTTCTTCAGTAGCCATTGCCTGTTAAGTTGTATTTGGCCCTTCAGCCCTGTGCTTGTCAGAAGACATGACGTTACGATGATGAATTCTCTGCTTCCCTCACAGGGGCAGAGTTTGGAAACTTCTCCCTTCCCTTTTCCAGGAACTTAGTTACTTTGATTCTGTGCATGTCAAAGTGACTTTCTATTTACAAAACTGAAACAGGCAAAACAAAAATAAAGATTGCTTCTGTTTCTTCACCAGCTGGTGATACAAACTTCCACACCTGCCTTTCCTCTACCTCTTTGGAATTAATTTTGCACCCCTAACTGTTCATTTTCATGTCTCTCTGTAATAGACATTACAGAAATACCAGTTTCTGCTGCAGTGTGTTCTCTGATAGGTGGATCTCAATGGTCACAGCTTTAGAGAAAAGGTCCTGTGTGTCATAAGCACAGAGCTACTACTATTTAACTATGTAGTATATGATTGCTATTATTAATACCTAGAAAGCAAGTCCTTGACCTTAGTGGGAAGAAATCAATTTGAAGCATTTCGCTTTGAAGTGCATGGCGAGAGCCTTTGCTAACAGTTCCTACAGTGCAGCATTTTAACTTGAAGATAAGTAGTTTGCTTATCTGAAGAGGGGAGAAGTGCCGTGGCCTAAATTTGCACTGTACTGGCTGATACATGAGGTGTGTTACCAGAGAAGTGCCAGGTGGAAAATCATGACTCTGTCGAGCTCATGGGGAAACCTTGGCAGTTCCAAGGTGGGCCCCACAGGTAAGACGTCTGAGTGTTGCCTCTTGGTATGAGAGCTGGTCACGCTCCACAGGTGCTCTTTTCCTCCACTGATGACATTTTTAGCACTCTGCCCCAGATTGTGTTTGGTGTCTAAAATCACACAAGTAGATGAAGCAGCACACTGTTGTATCGTTTGCAGCAGAAGACCAATTTTCCGTGGCCCAGCAAACTGGAGTGGAGGTGAAATAAATGGCTCAGCTTTGCTTCTAAGGAAAGCAAGATTCAGGACGTAATGAGAGATTCCAGAGGTGTCCCTCTGTTGTTACCATTTTACGTGCCGGTCTCGCATCTGGAGTAGCCAAGCTGCTAGGTGAGGCCAACTTAAGTTGGGGCCTGATTACCAAATGAAGTGAAAAGCACTTCTAGCCACCGGATCAGTTCCTGCAGGATACCATGCATTCCTGAAATACAGACGGTAGCCATGGTATTTGCACGACGAACCCTTTCCACAACTTCAGTGGCAAAACCTTCCAGAGTTTGCTACAGAGAGCTAGGAACCAATCTCTGCACTTCCGACTGAGACCACTAGATGGGGAGGCAGTCCCAATTTTGCTAGCTCAGCTTCTCCATTTTTCCTGCCCCTCAAGCTCCTGCAAGATAGGAAGAGGTGTGTCCTGTGCAGAAGTCTCTGAATGTAGCAATGCACATTTCTAACATCCTTGTGTACCTTTCAAGTTGGCTTCCTAGAGCGGGCAGGCTGCTAAACTCTCCCAGTTGCTAAACAGAAACTCATGGGAACTGTTGAGCAGTGGGGTCCAGGTGTGTGGAAAAGATACTCTGTTCTGCTTGATGCTGCTCCTGCAATAGGTTCTTGCAGAGTCTAAGTGGGGTTCTGTGCTCCATCAGCAAAGGATCTGTGCATCAAGAGCTGAATTTCCCCCTCTCCCAGCTTTCTTCTCTACACTTGGACCTGGTTCACACTGTCACTGCAATCCACTCTTTAAGCCACAATGGGCTTAAAAAGGCCACCCAA